CCATACATAGCTTTTATCCAGAAGCTCCTCCTGGCTACAAAATTATTGAAGTTCCAAGAAATATTATATATTTTCCTGTAAATAAGAGAAGTTTAGATGTTGTCAGTATTACATTTGCCGATCAACACGACAAGGCAATTGACTTTAATGGAGAAGAAACTACAATTACTTGTCATATAAAAAAGATATGAGAATTTATAAGAATTTATCTATAAGTGTACAAAATGCTAGGTTCCTAAAGTCAATAGGACTAAAGTTAAAATTTTCTATTAATAAAAATGGAAGATTTTCTAGACGTTACAGGGAAATCCCAATTCGACGATAGTGTGGTTAAAATTACAAATCACTCCTATGTTCCCCACAACACTTTGGCAATAAATAATTCTGATGAAATTCGAATATGTATTAATAATCAAGATTTGCTAACTCTCCCATGTAGGAGTTATCTGTATATTAAGGGAGAAATTGAAAATCATGATAAAGGTCATTTTATAAATAATGCATTTGCGTTCTTATTTGATGAAATTAGATACGAAGTTGCAGGTAAAGAAATAGACATTGTAAGAAACCCAGGAATTTCTAGTCTTATGAAAATATTGAGCTCTTACAATAAAACTACTAAATTGTCAAATGTAGCATTTGATTCTGACACGAATTTAAAAGAGTTCCATAAAGGTGGCAAGTTCAGTACTTGTTTGCCATTAGAGTTGTTAATGGGAGTATTCGAGGATTTTAATAAGGTTTTAGTAAATGTCAAACAAGAATTGGTGTTGAAAAGATCCAAAAATGATTTGAATTGTATATTAACAACCACTAGTGCTCCAGCCAGTGGCACTGCTGATACGATTCCCAAAATTACACTTAACTCTATTCAATGGGTCATGCCACATGTGATACCATCAGATGGGGAGAAGTTACAATTACAAAAGATGTTATTGCAAAATAAAAATTTGCAAATTGCATTTAGAAGTTTAGAGTTGCATGAACTTCCATCATATCCCAATACCACAAGACATACATGGTCAGTAAAGACATCTTCAAGTTTAGAGAAGCCTAGGTATATTATATTTGGTTTCCAAACAGCTAGGGATAATAGTGCACGAAAAAGAACTGACGAATTTGATCACTGTAAATTAAAAAATCTCAAAGTATTTCTAAACTCTGAATATTATCCTTATAGTGATTTAAATCTTGACTTTAAAAATGGAGATGTCTCTAAAGCTTATGAGATGTTTATGAGGTTTAGAGAGACTTACTATAATACTATCCCAGATCCTATGATTAGTAGGGCTGAGTTTATGAAGAAATATCCACTAATTATAATAGACTGTTCTAGACAGAATGAAACAGTGAAGGAAGGAATTGTTGATATTAAATTAGAGATTGAAACTGCAGACAATGTGCCAGCAAATACATCTGCATATTGTTTGATAATACATGATAAAGTGTTTGAGTACAATCCTTTGTCAAATGAGATAAATAAAATGTAAATAAAAGATGAAAAACATTCAACAAGAATTGGTTGACTCTGCAAATCAAATACGAGAGAAATATAGAGCTTTAAAACGTGGCAAGTTTCTAGAGGCTGAAGAGAGGTTCCAAACATTCCAACCTTTAATAGAGCCATTACAAGAATTAAAAAAAATCACAGCTATTGGCAAAACAGAGAGGCCTCAAATGGAGATACTCCCAATGACTCCATCTAGAATATCAATGATACCAAGATTACAACCATTACAACCATTACAGCAATCCACTCCACAGAAATTAGATTTTGGTCTTTTAGCATCAGACTATTTAGGAAATTACCTCAGTAAAAGTAGTATGACAGACACTACATATGGTATTAGACGAGAAGCAAATAAATTTTTTATTGGAAATAAGGAAGTTGATATTGCCAATGATGATGTCACAGTTGCAAATAAAACCTACAAGGGGACAAAAGGCTTGTGGCAGTTGTTAACTTTAAAAGAACCTGAGGATTATACTCAGGTTGATTTGCAAAATTATAAAGAGATTTTGGAAGCCACAAATGGACATTTAAAGAGTTACAAAGATGGTGCACCAATTTCAAGTAATAGACATACTAAATATCTTAATATAATTAAACCTCTTTTTAAATCTGTTGGTGAAGGTTTGAGACAAGTGACTGGTAATAAAATAGACTATATTTATTGGGATGATCCTAATGAGCTTGTAGATAGGTTAAGACTTCTTTGGCTAAGTCGCCAAGCCGGTAACTCAGGAGTGGATAATGAAATAGATTCCATTATTGAGGAATTAAGAGAAAGTGGAATTATTTATTAAATAAAAATATGTTTATAGATAAATTTTATCGTTTATATAATCCATATAATAAGCCTACAGAACCCAGGGCTAGTCATGAACCTACTTTAAATTTAAAAGACGATAGTTGGAATTGTTTAAACCGTAAAATTGGTAATGTTAAAGATGGGGAGTTTGTAGATGATGTATCAACTTTGGGTCAGACATTAACTAGAAAAGGTGATGTATTTTTACAAGGTAAAACTAAATATGAGTTTTTAGAATCTAAGAATAAAAATTGGAATGCTAAAAAACAGAAAATTACTAATGTGGAAAAGGGTGAAAGTTTAGATGATGTGCCCACTTTACAACAGACTTTAATACGTAAAGATGGCAAATTTGTACAAGACAATAAAAATTATGAATTTTTAGAATCAGAGAATGGTGTTTGGAATGCTAAGAAACAGAAAATTAATAATGTAGAAAAGGGTGAAAGTTTAAATGATGTGCCCACTTTACAACAGACTTTAATACGAAAAGAAGATGGTAATTTTGTACAAGACGATAATAATTATGAATTTTTAGAATCAGAGAATGGTGTTTGGAATGCTAAGAAACAGAAACTTAGCAATTTGATAGAAGGTACAGATAGTAAGGATGCTGTGAATGTTTCACAAGTTCCAAAAATGGAAGCAGGCTATTGGGATTTTAATAATAAAAGGTTAGTACGTGTTAAACCTGCCGTTGATGACACTGACTGTGTTACAAAAGAACAGACTATAACTTTTGATAAAAAAGAAAAATGTTGGGATGCCAAAAAACAATATATAAGAAATCTGCCAATGGGGGAATATTTAGATGATATTTGTTTAATGTCACAAGCTATGTATTATGATGGATCAAAATTTGTATATGGAGGAAGAAAATTTAATTTGATGGAATACAATCCTGATTTATTAGTTGCCGACCCCACATCTTTGAGTGGATTTAAGTATATAGATAATAGACCATATATACCAGAAAACTATGTATTTAAAAGAATGGACGATAATCTATTGATTGGGGCTAATGGTAATATATTTACAGTACAAGGAAAGAGTGATGTTATAAAAAATGAATGAAATTGCATACGAACTTCATAAGCCTGCGAGAAAGAATTTCATTAGAAGGTCTTTTAAAGTTTTAGGTATAAACGAAACTGTACAAATAGATTTAATTGATATGCAAAACTATGCTAGAGAGAATTCTGGCAATAAATATATTTTAACTTTAATAGATACATTTTCTAAAAAAGCTTATGCTGCTCCGCTAAAGAATAAGACGGGTTTGGTGGTTACAGAAGCCATTAAAACCATTCTACCAAAGGGGGTTAAAAACATTCAATCTGACAATGGAAAAGAATTTTTTAATCAATATTTTAGCAAACTAATGAAACAATTAAATATTAATCACTATCACACATTTTCTACAACTAAGGCTGCAATTGTGGAGAGGTTTCAGAGAACTTTAAAGAATTGGTTATATAGGGAATTTAGTGCTCAGGGGAGTTATAAATGGTTGGATTTACTTCCAAAGTTAATTCGAAAATATAATAATAAGGTGCATAGATCTATAGGAATGAAGCCTAACCAAGTGAATATTAAGAACAGTAAATATGTGCATGAGAGGTTGACTTCTAAAGTAGTGCAAGTTAAAAAGCCAAGATATAAGGTAGGTGATAGTGTGAGAATTTCCAAGTATAAACATGTTTTTAGTAAAGGATATACCCCGAATTGGACAGGGGAGCTATTTACAATAGCAGAAGTAAAGAATACAAAGCCTGTGACTTATATCTTGAAAGATGAAAATGGTAATATAATCAGGGGAGGCTTCTATACAGAGGAATTGTTAAAGACCAAATATAAAGACATGTATTTGATAGAAAAGGTTATTAGGAGAAAAGGTGATTTATTATATGTCAAATGGCTTGGGTTCCCAAGTAGCCAGAATTCATGGATTTCCACTAAGGATGTCCAAGGGAGCGCGACATGAGCCGGGAGCGCGCCCAAGTTCGCATACAAACCTCGCACGATTTTGTGAATGGATGTGGATTTGAAATAGTAATGGAGTTGTACAATGGTATTGAACATTTATATAGGCTTGTATAGGCCGAGAGCTGGATTTTTAAAAAAGTGGTCAAAAAAAGCTCACCATGTTATTCTTATGGGGAAAACGTGCCTAAAGTGGCGTTAAACCATCATATTGCCTCTACTGCCTTGATATCACATCTTTTGTTCAACTATTTTTCTTACAAAGTGTTTACAGTTAAATGACACTTTTAAAATACAATACCGGTAAATAACTTGTAACCGATTCAAAATGCGTTTATTATTATTATTATTCGGTCGCATTGGGGAATAAAGTAAGTTACATAAATTACGACTACAGCTCAATACATAGAAAGTCCATTAACACAGTTCAAATCTTCGCATAAACAAACAATTTATCTGATTTAAAAACCAGTTTTTTCAGCTAATTCGTATTGTACCCTTTCTAGGCCATTTTCAATCACAATTGCTAAAAAATAAAGTTTCTAACAATTTTTGTGGTTTAGAATTTAAAAATTATCCACCAAACGATTGCGCTGATATGATTGCATGTTGATTAATTCTCACTTACCTTGAACTCAAACCAACAAAGTTTACCTGAAAGTCTTATGTCTTTTTTGTTCCTCTTTTTGCTTTTTTCGGTTTCAGAATCGCAGCGCCACGTCGTCCAGTGGATACGCTTCGCACCACAGTCCTCATCGGCGCTGCTACGTGCTCAGCCAGCCTCAGCGAACAACAGGCACCCAGCTGCGAACCCTCCACCCGCTGTGACAGGACCTGCCACCGTCTGAGACTTACCTGTGAGTGATACGCTTCCTACCACAGTCCTCATCGGCGCTGCTACGTGCTCAGCCAGCCTCAGCGAACAACAGGCACCCAGTTGCGAACCCTCCACCCGCTGTGACAGGACCTGCCACCGTCTGAGACTTACCTGTGAGTGATACGCTTCCTACCACAGTCCTCATCGGCGCTGCTACGTGCCCAGCCAGCCTCAGCGAACAACAGGCACCCAGCTGCGAACCCTCCACCCGCTGTGACAGGACCTGCCACCGTCTGAGACTTACCTGTGAGTGATACGCTTCCTACCACAGTCCTCATCGGCGCTGCTACGTGCTCAGCCAGCGTCAGCGAACAACAGGCACCCAGCTGCGAACCCTCCACCCGCTGTGACAGGGCCTGCCACCGTCTGAGACTTACCTGTGAGTGATACGCTTCCCACCACAGTCCTCATCGGTGCTGCTACGTGCTCAGCCAGCCTCAGCGAACAACAGGCACCCAGCTGCGAACCCTCCACCCGCTGTGACAGGACCTGCCACCGTCTGAGACTTACCTGTGAGTGATACGCTTCCTACCACAGTCCTCATCGGCGCTGCTACGTGCTCAGCCAGCCTCAGCGAACAACAGGCACCCAGTTGCGAACCCTCCACCCGCTGTGACAGGACCTGCCACCGTCTGAGACTTACCTGTGAGTGATACGCTTCCTACCACAGTCCTCATCGGCGCTGCTACGTGCCCAGCCAGCCTCAGCGAACAACAGGCACCCAGCTGCGAACCCTCCACCCGCTGTGACAGGACCTGCCACCGTCTGAGACTTACCTGTGAGTGATACGCTTCCTACCACAGTCCTCATCGGCGCTGCTACGTGCTCAGCCAGCGTCAGCGAACAACAGGCACCCAGCTGCGAACCCTCCACCCGCTGTGACAGGGCCTGCCACCGTCTGAGACTTACCTGTGAGTGATACGCTTCCCACCACAGTCCTCATCGGTGCTGCTACGTGCTCAGCCAGCCTCAGCGAACAACAGGCACCCAGCTGCGAACCCTACACCCGCTGTGACAGGACCTGCCACCGTCTGAGACTTACCTGTGAGTGATACGCTTCCTACCACAGTCCTCATCGGCACTGCTACGTGCTCAGCCAGCCTCAGCGAACAACAGGCACACAGCTGCGAACCCTGCACCCGCTGTGACAGGACCTGCCACCGTCTGAGACTTACCTGTGAGTGATACGCTTCCTACCACAGTCCTCATCGGCGCTGCTACGTGCTCAGCCAGCCTCAGCGAACAACAGGCACCCAGCTGCGAACCCTCCACCTGCTGTGACAGGACCTGCCACCATCTGAGACTTACCTGTGAGTGATACGCTTTCCTACCACAGTCCTCATCGGCACTGCTACGTGCTCAGCCAGCCTCAGCGAACAACAGGCACCCAGTTGCGAACCCTCCACCCGCTGTGACAGGACCTGCCACCATCTGAGACTTACCTGTGAGTGATACGCTTTCCTACCACAGTCCTCATCGGCGCTGCTACGTGCTCAGCCAGCCTCAGCGAACAACAGGCACCCAGCTGCGAACCCTCCACCCGCTGTGACAGGGCCTGCCACCGTCTGAGACTTACCTGTGAGTGATACGCTTCCTACCACAGTCCTCATCGGCGCTGCTACGTGCTCAGCCAGCCTCAGCGAACAACAGGCACCCAGCTGCGAACCCTCCACCCGCTGTGACAGGACCTGCCACCGTCTGAGACTTACCTGTGAGTGATACGCTTCCTACCACAGTCCTCATCGGCGCTGCTACGTGCTCAGCCAGCCTCAGCGAACAACAGGCACCCAGTTGCGAACCCTCCACCCGCTGTGACAGGACCTGCCACCATCTGAGACTTACCTGTGAGTGATACGCTTTCCTACCACAGTCCTCATCGGCGCTGCTACGTGCTCAGCCAGCCTCAGCGAACAACAGGCACACAGCTGCGAACCCTGCACCCGCTGTGACAGGACCTGCCACCGTCTGAGACTTACCTGTGAGTGATACGCTTCCTACCACAGTCCTCATCGGCGCTGCTACGTGCTCAGCCAGCCTCAGCGAACAACAGGCACACAGCTGCGAACCCTGCACCCGCTGTGACAGGACCTGCCACCGTCTGAGACTTACCTGTGAGTGATACGCTTCCTACCACAGTCCTCATCGGCGCTGCTACGTGCTCAGCCAGCCTCAGCGAACAACAGGCACACAGTTGCGAACCCTGCACCCGCTGTGACAGGACCTGCCACCGTCTGAGACTTACCTGTGAGTGATACGCTTCCTACCACAGTCCTCATCGGCGCTGCTACGTGCTCAGCCAGCCTCAGCGAACAACAGGCACCCAGCTGCGAACCCTACACCCGCTGTGACAGGACCTGCCACCGTCTGAGACTTACCTGTGAGTGATACGCTTCCTACCACAGTCCTCATCGGCGCTGCTACGTGCTCAGCCAGCCTCAGCGAACAACAGGCACCCAGCTGCGAACCCTGCACCCGCTGTGACAGGACCTGCCACCGTCTGAGACTTACCTGTGAGTGATACGCTTTCCTACCACAGTCCTCATCGGCGCTGCTACGTGCTCAGCCAGCCTCAGCGAACAACAGGCACGCAGCTGCGAACCCTCCACCCGCTGTGACAGGATCTGCCACCGTCTGAGACTTACCTGTGAGTGGTAGACACCGGTACTACCATCTGAGTCACTCTTGTGGATTGGAACGATGTAGGAACTCCGTTAGAGTATTGACATCTTTTGAGGCTTATCCGTGAGGTTGATTCTGCTGAATAATTCTCAGGACAAAAGATCGTGAGATTAATGATCTGAATGATGCAATTTAAGATCTGTTTATGAACAGGATCTAATCCTTTACCTATGTCAGTCCTTGTGCAGAAGATGAAGGAGCTGATTATCGTTATGTAGGAATTGCTTATGAACTGGGCCATGTCCTCTTTGACACGTTTCGACTAGAAGATGACGTTACAAAAAATTGTTTACATGAATGGTGCTATATATATCCAGTGTCAACCACTGAAACGGATATCACGAGTTGCGATGAACGCAACCAGTGAGAGTGAACAGCCTGTGAAAATAATCGTACTATCAGAGTCACTTAACGATGAAAAATGTTTCGGCAAAAGCAACGTTTTGTATTTAATCATTTTTGAAATGTAATTCACTCTGTTTAATCAATATGCATAAATAAGAAACCAGCAAAAATACAGGGACAAGGCCCTATTTCAATCTGTATTCATGTGTATTTCAGTAATACCACCGAAAACATACTACTATAACCGTATGTTTTCTGTGGTAATACAAACGTTTTATGTACTCTAATGTATTAACTTTTTATGGATATTGCTTACTTTGTAATAAAGAGCTGAACGTGTATCTCATTTCTCTCTGTTCAGTCAACTACCTGTGTTATCATACTACCTACCACTTTTATATTTTAAATAGTATGATAGTAGTTTTAAATGTAGTTGGGACTGTAGTTGGTAGCTGGTCAAGTGGTTAGAACGCGAAAATTGGAGGCTCTCCAATGGCAAAAGGCAAATAGGAAATTGGTTCAAATGGCAAGTGGGGATGCCGTAACCGTCGTTTCGGAGCCCATTTTAATTTTAATATGTGGATCTACTTATCTAGAAAACAAAAGCATTTGGATTTCCATTTGCCTAGCTGAATTTCCACTAAAATATTCAATTAAAATTGTCAGATAGATTTACAACAATAAGTGATTTAATACAGTAAGTGATTTTTATGAGCACTTAGGTTCGCTGCTATAGAATGAACTGAATACATTTGCCAATTTTTGTGAATACATATCGGAAATATTTGAAAATTTTAAATGTAAGCCAACAGTTTAATTTTTTTCTCCGTAACTTTTAGTTGTACAACAATGAGAAAGTTCGCAAAAACAGAATATGGACGCTGTTTTTAAGTTAACATACCTACAATGTCGATAGATTATAGATAAGGAAAATAAACCTAATCAAATCGCGAAAATGACTGATCCTCTAACAAATTAAGTAAACACAACAATTAATTCGTAGTTTGGAATCGTCTGTTTAGGCTACTAGTCAATCTCTAGGACCTTTTGTCTTCAAAGGTTACGTTTAAATATGAAGGTCTGAAAGTGAATTCTGCCCCAGACTAAGTGTTTAGATTGATTTCAACGCTTAATAGCACTGTATGTTTATCAACCTTTGAACAGCCTAGGAGGTGCATCCTTACAAAAATAAATTATTACAAACTATTCATAAATTACACATATAATAAATTATATGAAATTATTACTCCCTTCATTAGAACAATATGTACTGTAACTTAGTTTGAGAATATAGTAGTATAATTTGCAAGATTATATGTATTTAAAATAATATGTATCATTAAGAATATACAATAGTAACATTTGCTCCCATAGAGCGAGCTGGTCTACTGGTAGAGCGTGGAGTTTTGGTGCCTGAGGTCCCAGGTTCAAATCCCGCCAATCACGAATGTACTTTGTCCATGTGAATATGCCACGACCCTCCAAGAACTAGCCTGAAGTAATGTGTAAAACAGTTCCGGGCTAGAACCTAATTGTCCTGGAATATGAAGGTAGGAAAAATATGAGTAAAAAGATATATGAGTGAGTAGAAAGTAACATAACGTTCTTCCGACAGTTTAAGTCTAACCACCTACGTAACAAGATCACTCTTTGGTTTAAAAGACAATTTTATGTTGCTATTAACTTTGACTATTGATAAACTGATATCATGTTTATTACAAAATCCTTTAAATAATTAGACCCTATACTTATATATACCTCACTCAACTACTTTCTTAGGTTAATTACGAATTCATTGTATATCTTAAACTTTACAGATCAGCGATAGAATCAGGGTACTTCAGGCTTTATAGTTTGGTGTGACATTTCAGAGAGTTGTTTGACATTTGTGGTTCAACGCTCAGCGTGGAAAGGGTGGCTTAACAAA